AAGAGGGGGAGGGTGGCATGAGTGTGTGTGTGTGGGGGAGGTTGGGGGTTAATAGGGGGGATGAGGACACATTTGTAATACCTTAACTAATAATAATAAAATAAAAAATAAAAACAAAAATTAAAATTAAAAAAAATAAAAGTGGAGCAAGATGACTCTACTTTTATTTCTTTCAGGAAGTGTCCCTATTTTCCCACGGGAGATTGTTAAAATAATGAGAAGACAAATGGCACCAAATTAATAAAAAGTAGGTAAAATGAAAAAAAAAAGTAGGCTCTGGGAAAGCATAAAAAAAAGTTTAAATGTTAATTTCAAAATAAAGTCTACTTAAAAGAAGGCAAATTGGCTAGAAAAATACACCATAAGACAAGTGTCACAATTTTAAAGTGGTGTAATGAAAAGCATAGAGTTTGGAGTCATACATTTAGAGCGACTTACTAGTTGGGAGACCCTGAGCAAGTGACTGAATCTTTATGCATCTCTATAAAATAGAAATAATAATACCTAGTAGGTTGGCATGGGAAGCTCTGAGCCTCAGTTTTCTCATTTTTTTAAATGGGAATAATAATAGTACCCACCTCATTGCATCATTGGAAGAAAGAGTTTATATATGTAAAATACTTAATGTTTAGTGCATAGTAAGCATTAAATAGGGGTTAGTAATTATAATTAATAAACAAGCTAATATGTTTTGCCCATAGTGCATGTATTATTCTCTGAAATTGTTTTTTTTTTAAAGTTCATGAGGCAGGTGCTTTGTGCCTAGTTTACCCCATGATTGAGAATAGTGCCCGGCGGGCAGCTGTACCTCACGGCACCTTTCTCCACAACATCACTGCAATTACTCTTTCAAGGCCACCAATGACCATCGTGCTGCCAAATCTGAAAGACAACCCATTCTCCACTCAGCACCTTGGATGAATCCTGTACAATTGAATTAGCTCTCACTCTTCTGCTTAACACACTTAGATGGACAGCCCTGCCTTTAGAATAAAATCAAAAGTCCTTTCCATGATTTACATGTCCTTCATGATCTGGCCCTTCGACTCATTATGTCAGTCTCTACGTTCCAGTGCCACCAGCTCCGAGTCAGTTCCTAGATCAGGCCAAGCTCTTTCAGCCTGAGGGCCTTCGCATTTGTTGTGTTCTCTGCCTGGTATACTCTCTCCAAGCTGCTTACACGGCTCCTTCTCAGTATAGTACATTAAGTAGTTAGGAATACCGATTTTGAAATCAAACTCACTGGTTTCCAGTTCAGGCTCTACCACTTACTACCTGTGTAAGGCAAATTATTTAATCTCTGTGTACCTCAATTTCCTCACCTTAAAGTAAGGAAAAAATATGTCCCCTCCTTACGTTGCTGAAATATGTCAGTTAATATAAAGTGCTTGGAACTGTGCCTGGTACCAGGCAAGCACCACATTGGTCATCTTTCAGCTGAAATGCAGACTCTTCAGAGACCCTGTTTTTAATCAGAGTACCCAGTACTCACCACAATCTGTAAATATTTTATTTTTTCGTTTACTCTTTGTGGTCCATGAAGACTTGGAATTTGTCTTATTTACTATTGTATACTCAGCACCCAGCACAATGCCTGATGATAAGTATATATTGAATGATTAGAAAAGTAGTTATTTTTCTTGCCACCCTCAAGGAAGGTCAAGTGCTGTGCCAAGGGGGAAAAGACAAGAGCTGGGATTTGCACGAGTGTTCCAACCACCTAACTCAGCTGAGTGATGAACAGTTATGCGGTGTTCCATAAACAAATAGCTATGCCACTGGTATTCTCTTCATCCAGGCCTTACTCATCTGTTGTGTCTCCTAAGGTTGCACCTCCTGCAGCAGGCTTCCTCTGCTCACACCCACCGTGGCTCAGCGGAGCTCCCACAGCATTAGGTATGCATTTCTTAGCTGAGTCCTGCTTTTATGCTTTTGCACTGTTTCTTCTACATCATCTTAGCTCAGCGGTTCTCAACCTTCCTAATGCCGCGACCCTTTAATACAGTTCCTCATGTTGTGGTGACCCCCAACCATAAAATTATTTTCATTGCTACTTCATAACTGTAATTTTGCTACTGTTTTAATCGTAATATAAATATCTGATATGCAGGATTTATTTTCATTGTTACAAAAGGAACATAATTAAAGCATAGTGATTAATCACAAAAACAATATGTAACTGTATAAGTGTTTTCCGATGGTCTTAGGCGACCCCTATGAAAGGGTCCTTCGACCGCCAAAGGGGTTGCAACCCACAGGTTGCGAACCGCTGTCTTAGCTGATGATGCCCTGTGCTTAACACTTTTGCTCTTCACTTTTCCTGAGCTCCTTGCTCAATGTTGGGCCCGCAGAATATGCTCAGTACAAGCTTGGAGAGTGACCCCACCACCTGCCTTTTCAGGAAGCCGGCCCAAGGTAGCTCTGCATTGTGTACACCAGGGGTCCTCAAACTACGGCCCACGGGCCACATGCAAATACAAATATTGTATTTGTTCCCGTTTTGTTTTTTTACTTCAAAATAAGATAGGTGCAGTGTGCCTAGGAATTTGTTCATAGTTTTTTTTAAAACTATAGTCCGGCCCTCCAACGGTCTGAGGGACAGTGAACTGGCCCCGTTTAAAAAGTTTGAGGACCCCCGGTGTACACTTTCATGGACGAGATGATGACTCTACAGGAGAGAAAGTTCTCTTACCTGATCTGTTGTGGCTGGTGGTGGCAAAGCTGTAGAGAATGAGAGCATTCGCAGGGAGGCCTCCAACTGCTGGGGAGGCAAAAAAAAGTTGGGCACCACAATGGGCTCTGGGCTATCATGGTAGTTAAGGGACACATATACCTAGAAATCCTCCCACCTGCCAGACCAGCAAAGTCACTGGTCTCAGTGATCCTTTCATCCCTCCCACCCCCACGCCCACCCCTGAACCTATTCCTGCCCATGAATCCTTTGCTCATGGTTCCCTCTCTCTGGAACGCCCTCCCTACTCCTAACAAATCATAGTCTATGCCAGCCGTGGGCAAACTATGGCCCACGGGCCGAATCCGGCCCGTTTGAAATGAATAAAACTAAAAAAAAAAAAAGGCCGTACCCTTTTGTGTAATGATGTTTACTTTGAATTTATATTAGTTCACACAAACACTCCATCCATGCTTTTGTTCCGGCCCTCCGGTCCAGTTTAAGAACCCATTGTGGCCCTTGAGTCAAAAAGTTTGCCCACCCCTGGTCTATGCTTTCTTCATGGGTCAGTTTAAATCCCACCTCCTCTGGGAAGCTTTCTCCTGATCTTAGCCCACAGTGATCACTCCTTCTACAGCAGAGTTTGCAACACAGGATAATGCTTGATGCTTTAGTGCGATATGAATCTCAATGTGTTTTTCTCAAAATCCCCCCAAACTTCTCAAAGGCAAAGATGGCATAGTTTCCATCAGTGACCTCACTACTTCCCTAGAGCACTACATGAGGCCTTCAGACAAGGTGGCTCCAAGGGGCAGTGTCTTAGATCGGAGGGAGATGCCTAGTAAAAAAGGAGGGTCCCCCTGGTTCTTTTCTGCTTATACCCAGAAATGAGGGTTCTGCCTAAGTGGGCACAGCTGGTCCGCGCAGTCTGGATGTAAGCCCTTGGGGGCAGACACTGGATCTTGTGCTTCTCCTTTGTACACCCTGCAGATATCCAGCACTGTGATGAGAACATTTGTTCAAGGCACTTTTTCAGTTTGGGAGGAGGGATGGGGCCATTCTGATGTTTAATTTTTTGTTTCTGCTCAATAAGCTAAGTATGGTTCTGATTCAAATTGGCTTATCATCGTTCTCCCATGCAAGACTTTGAACTCCAAGAGGGCATAGATGATCTCTTTCACAGCCACATTCTGGTCACCTGACATAGCACCTGGGACACAGTTCGTGTTCAATAAATATCCACCAAATGAATGAAATGCAGCATTTCCTGCTTTGGTTCAAGTCCCTGACTCTTCTTCAGAGGCCCTGGTGAGGCAGGGCCGATGCTGTTGCTGCTCTGGCTTCTGGGGACTCTGCTGGATAGTCAGCTGATGCTGTGGGGGAGGAATGGCTTTGCTGTGAGGTCTCAGAGGTGTGTCTGAAACACGGGAAGTCCCCCTCTCCGCCCACCACCTCCTGCCTAAGGGTCCTGCTCCAACAGTAACTTCTGTCAATTATTAGATGATGACTTCAGGAAAGTTCACTTTTATGCCTGTTTCTTCATCAATAAAATGGATATACTAATAGTACCTTTTGTTTTAAGAATTAAGAGTTTATACATGCAAAGTGCTGAGAATGGTGCCTGATACATAGCAAGCATTTGATGCCAGCTATTCTCATCGCCCTGATTAATGGGAAAAAGTTGCTTTTTCTCACTGTCCTTACCACCGGTTCCCTCACCCACTGAAAACTGCTTTGCTTTCTCCATTTTGCACTGTCCTCTTTAATGCTAAAGCCAGTGAACACAGGTCAGTCCATAATCTACTGGGCCTGTCTTAAGTGTCAGTGTTGACAACTAATTCCTGAAACTGCTCCCACACCGCCTCTCCTGCTGCTCCAGCTCTGACCAGCTCTTCTCTGTGGGTATCTGTTCTGCCAACCGTTTACATATTGATCCTCAGGGCTCTGTCTTGTGTGGTTCTCCCTTTCCATGCTCTCCCTGCTGCCCTAATCTACTTCCACAACCTACCTTTCTATCTGATCTCGTCCTGAACTCCAGGCCTAAATGTTTTACAGGCACAGGTCCAAAATGGAAATCTGCTCTTTACCAGAATCTGTTTATCTCTATGTGCGGTTCCCTATACAATAAATGACACCATTACCTAGTAACTTGTGATAGAAATATCCAAGTCATAGATAGTTATACGTTGTTTTTCTCTTTGTCATCCTTTGTCCTTCTTTATCTAACTAATCCTCTCAAATCTATCCCCCTCCTTTTCAACATCATTGATGTTTCTCTCTCTCTCCCCCACTCCCTTCTCTCTCTGAAATTAAAAGAAAAATATATTAAAAAAAATAAAGCAGTCTATGCTTTTGGTCAAACTTTCTTCTGGTCTCCTCTGATCTAATCCTCTCTTTACAGGGAACTGGGTGACTTTCCTAATATGTAAATCTGACCATATCATACTCTTCCCAGTTAACATTTACTGAACCCTATTTATGTACCAGGCACTGTACTAGGTAGTTTACATCATTATTTTAATTTTACAACCTCTCCAAGAAAAGGTCTATTATCTCCATTTTAAAGATAAGGAAACTGAAGTTTAAATTGCTTGCAGGATAGTCTAAGCACCTTAGCCAGGCATACATGGCCCTTGAAGATCCAGTCCTACCTCACCTCTCACCGTGTGTTTACACGTGGGCTCTAGCCACAGTAAACTGCTGCTGCCCAGAAGCCAGGCTCTCTCACCTGGCTATGCCCTGCACACACAATCCACTTTCTCATCTCTGTTTACAGAATGCCTATTCATCTGAGGTCCAGCTCTAATGTCTCTTACTGGGATACCTTTAAGCAGTTATGGCAGCTTCCTCCTCTTGTTCCCCAGCATATAGTCCATGACTCATCACAACACTTAGAACACTAATGGTCATGGTTTGTTTACTGTTATCATCATTACTTCATAATGGGAACTGCTTGAGGTAAAGTCTGATTAAAATCTCTGTTCTCAGTACACAGCACAGGGCCGGGCAATACTCGTTATTTTTAAAGAACAGTTGAGGGAAGGTCTGAATTAGGACCTGTGACTGCTCCTCCACTGACCATAAATTCTGAGCACTGTAAAGGCAGCAGTGTCAGAAGCCGCAATAAGGGAGTCCAGGAAAGAACTCCACCAGAAAGTTGGCTGTTAGTACTCAGCCTCCAGCCATTAAAGCCAACCGGTTAGACTGCACATGTGAGGGCTGTTGATGGTCTTAAGTGGTTTCCTTTCTCCGTAATGTGTCCAACTGCGTTTCAAAGGAGAAAGAAGGTGCCCCCTCTCCCCATCAACACTGCCATTTCAACTATGTCTACTTCCCTCCTCTTGGCTCCATCCCTTGCCTTAAAAAAAAAAAATTAGGCAAATCACTACAACTCTGAGCCTCAGTTTTCTTACATGCAAAACAGAAATAATACCTACCTTAAAGACTTGAGATGACTGAGTAAAAAATGTATGTCTAGTGCCTGGCACAAAGTAAATGCTCAGTGTTAGTACTCTTCTTTCCCATCTGCACCCTCCACTTCTATTTCAACTGAGATTAAAGGTCTCCTTCCTAGGGTCAGCTGTAAAATACCCAATATACCAGGACAGGCTAATGAATGTGCTCCCAACACCTAAACCCAGTTAAAAACACTGTGCTTCAGAGGGCTGGTGTTAATGGGAGAATTGGAGCACCTTGTCAGTGCAGGTGAGTCTTTTGAAGGATCTTCCCATGCCCCTCAGTGAATCCCATGAAGGTGGTAGCCACTGCTCATTCCCACTAGGCTGGCCTAAGCACCAGCATCCAAAATGCCTACATTGGGCTACTTGTGGGAAACCGTCAAAGGATACAGAAGGAGATTCTGCTTTGTGGAAACCTCTGATTCAGATGTCGCCTGCTTCTGCCTGATGTCAGGGCAGTTGATGGGTAGCCCCTTATGATTTTCCCTTTTGTTCTGGGAGGCTACGTGTAGAGGGAATTTCTCCAAGCTATTAGCAGAGTCACTTAGCTCACTGGAGGCAGCTTCATCCTCAGCCTGGACCTGTGGCTTGGGCTCCTGGTCCTGATCTGCCCTTGGTGAGCAAGTGGTGTTCTTTGGGGCTCTTGAGAGTGTCACACCTGGGATGAGTTGAGGGTCTGTTGAGGCAGGCTCTCCACCCCAGATCTTAGGGCTCTTACCCTCACAAGGAACAAGACTTTGGCTAGCAGAACCCTGCCTAGGCAGGTGGGAGTTGACAGCTCTTTCTGGACTGGACAGAAAGCTACTTCTGACCCTGAGCTCCTCTCTAAGGCAGGGCTCAGGAGAAGGACAAGAGGGACCTACCCTCTGCACCTCATCAGGATGAAGGCTAATGATCTCACTTGAGTCTGACACAAAACTGGACCAAGGGCTAGTTTTGTCTGTTATGGTGGTGATCTCATTGAGTGTCCTGGGCTCAATGATGTCTTCTTCATAGTCTTCATCACTGTAGGCTGGGCCTGCCTCAGTGTCTTCATTGCTCTGCATCCTTGTAATGGGTATTGTGTGTCCAAGGGACTCATGGAGCATTACTCCTCCACTCGAAGGCTCTTCTGGAGTACGGGGAGGAGGGGAGTCTGCACCCTCATCTGGAGCTCTTGACACGGGCAGGTCAGGAATTGTGCTTTGTTCTTGCATGGCTCCTGTGTTCTGAGGATCTGGGAGAGTGGTAACTTCTCTGCTTCTACTCCTGGCTTGGCGAGAACTCAAAGATGCTTGAGAATTCCTGGTGATGGTCTGCAGATCTGAACAGCAACAGATGTCATTCTTATTACAAGGTAGGGCCACAGACCACTGAACTTCCCCACATTAGCCTCTAGCTTCAGAATTATTCTTGGGGGAAATAAAAAGAACAAAAGGAAAAAGAAGTATTCTTGCAATCAGACTTTGAACAAATCTTAAAGATAGTTAATCCACCCAAGAGTCAGTGAAACTATATTCAACACAGTACAATTTCTAGCACTTTATTCTAATATCAGAAGACCAAAATCTAATCTATTTATGGTTGTGGTTACATCTGTAGAAACACTTTCAGAGACTATCTGCTCCTGCTCAGGAATTCTTGGGAGCTGGGAGTCCTGGTGGGCATGTTCATGCTTCCTTTTACTTCAGTAATTACCTATATTAAAAATCAAAATGAGAATCCACTTATTTACCTATTTGATGATAACTATTTGAACTATTTTACTTGGAAAATGAAAGCAAGGAAATACCTATCACCCAAATGATAAGGTAGGGAGGTTTACAGAGAAAATGGAGGCGGCATGGTGTGTTGGAAAGAGCAGAGGCTTTGAAGCTGTCAGTCTTCAGTTCAAATCTCTGTCAACTTTGTGGTCAACAGCGAACTCTTTTCTCTGAGCCTGTTTACCTTTAAAATATGATTAACACCACTCTTTTCACAAGGTTTTGATATAAAGAATAGATGAGATAAATGGGCACATACTGTGTGGCACATATATAGACAGTTAATAAATGGAAGCTGCTAGTCACCTCAAATTGTTTTAAAGATGAAATGGTAGGGAATAAATTAATAAACAGGTGTAGCAAATGTCATATTTTTACATGATTATTTGAGAGGAGAAAGAAGCTGGGAGGCAAATTTGACTCCCAAGAGTAGGTTTCACATCTCCCTCATAGCACCTGATGGGGCACACAGCCTACAGAAGGTCCTGGCTAGGCTTAATACATTGACAATTTTCAGGTCTCAAAGGGGAGTGAGTAGATGTATGAAAATGGGACATCCCTGCTGCAAAGAGGAACAGGAACCAGGAAGCACATGTAATTGCTCCTGGCCCTTTGGCCTGAACTACCCTTCTGTCTTAGAGCAGTCTTTCTGCTTTTTAAAAACTAGCCTATTTTTTAAGGCCTCACTCTACTGCATCTCCTCCAGGAAGCCCTCCCAGATGCACCAGCTGGAAGGGATAGCTACATAGCTTTTTTCTACATGAAAGCATAAGAACATGCTATTATGTAATTGTCTGTCTACATATTTCTCCTATCAGATTGTGAGCTTCTCAAAGGCAGAGGCCATATATATCTGATTCATGTTGCAACTTCAGAGCCCAGCAAAGGACCTGGCACATAGATATGGCAAAAATGAAACAACCATTCAGTAACTCCCTCTCAAGCTTCACCCATACCTACTTGTCTAATTATTTCATTAAAAGTGTATTGAGATACGATGGAGGTAGAACCTGGCTTCCCTGATCCTATCATCTCTTTCAAAACTCATCCTTTCCTTGTGAAAATTAATTCTCATCCTGTCATCCTCTTGCTTAAAACTCCCCATTTTCTTCCAGGAGAAAGAGTAAACTCTCAAGCTTGCCTTCAAGGCCCTCCAGCTTCAATCCTTCAGTTCTTTTCTCTCTCCTCTTTTAATATAGCCCTTTAAAGAAATTCCCTATTTGCTCTCACCTCTATCCCTAATGAGCCTGAAAGCAGAGACAATGCCTGTCTTGTCCACCACTGTACCTTCCTGGAACCTAGTAAAACAATAGTGCCTGGCATGGTTAGTGCTCAATAAATAGCTGACGGAATATTATTTCCAAGCAAGAGGAAACCAAATACACAGTACACTTCTGGGGTCCTGGCTACCAACAGGTTAGATATCTAAAAATACAAAGTAGGAATAAGATTTCTGGTGGCTTTTTTTCCCCTTTAAAGAAGGAAAATGAAACTTATCCATCCGTGTGTACAATTTACGTATTTTCCTTGAGCAAAAATGACACCAAGTGAGTTGCATTCAGGTGCTGATCTAAATGATTTCTTAATAATCCTCACAGCACACCTGTTTCTAGGGCTTCACCCTGGATTCTGAATCAGTAGGACCCAGCAATCTGTATTTCAAAATAAATACCACAGGTGATTCTTATCTCAGGCAAGTTTGGAAATACTTTTTCTGGAGTGATCTCTCTGGGCTGCACAGTGGAATTACCTGGGGAATTATGAAAAATACTGATGCTGGGACTCACTCTCAGAGATACTGATGCAACTGACGTATGGTACAGTCTGGGCATCTGGATTTTTTAAAGAAATATATTCTCATTGATTTCAGAAAGGAAGGGAGAGGAAGAGAGAGAGAGAAACATCAATGATGAGAGAGAATTACTGATCAGCTGCCTCCTGCACGCCCCTTACTGGGGATTGAGCTCACAACCCGGTCACGTGCCCTGAATGGGAATCGAACCATTACCTCCAGGTTTATAGGTCGACTCTCAACCACTGAGCCATGCTGGTGGGCTGGGCATCTGGATTTTTAAAAGCTCCCTTGGTAACTCCAATATGCAGCCAAAGTGAGAACTACCACTTTAAGGGATTTTCAAAGGGTGGATTACTAACATCCAAAAGCATCTGGGGTGCTTCCTAAAAATGCAGACTTCTGGGCTCTTTTTATATTTAGAATCAGAATTTTAAATATGTATGTAGTTGACTTTTTCTGAAAATAGAGTGGCACAAGTTCAAGAACTGCTACTGAAGAACTCATCTAATCCAACTGCCCCCCCCCCCTTTTTTTTGGTTGGGGAAACCTTAAGAAGGGAAAGGATATGCTCAGAGTCAAATAGTAAGTCCATGCTAGAAACCCACCAAGCCCCACCCGGATCTCCTGCCTCTCAGTCCAATGCTCTTTCCATTGCACATGTTCTTGTGCCATGCTACTATGCCTCTCCTCTCAGAAGGAAGATGATGAAACTGTTGGTCTCTGTTGGTCATGGGAGCTTGTCTGAGGATAGACATTCAACTAACTGCCTTTTGAATAGCCACCCAGTGATCATAACTTCTCAACAAGAGGGGCCTGAGCCATACCCGTGATTAAGGAGCTGACTTGCAACACCAGGTTATTGGATTTCTCCAGGATGCACTGGCTCTCAGGATCTAGTCTGCTGGCTTCTGGCCCACAAGAGTCCCCATGGCTCTGTTGGCACTGCAAGATCGTCTGAGTCTGGGGACTGAGGGGAAGTAAAGGCTTGGTGAGCTTCTGGCTGAAGTACCTCTGAATCTGATCTAGCTCACTCAGATTCCTCCTGTAAAAAAAGAAGGGGAGAAGAGGACAAAAGGGTCTTTCACTGAAATTATAGGCATCTTTTATGTTCCCCTGACATTCTACTGCGTGAGGTAGGACCTTAATACCTCTCATTTGGTCTATTAATACTAGGGCTCTCTTTCTCTCCAATCTACCAACGACTCAACCTTCACTTCTCTGACTACAATCCCAACACTGGGGACAACTTTCTCCCTCTTCTGTATGGCTTATGCAATTCTTCTGATGCACAGCAAAAACCTTACTTCCTGGTGGGAAACACTCCTGATCGTCATTCCTGTCCTCATGCCCTATACCTGACAGAAAAAGGCCTTCCTCTGGATAACGCTGACCTTTGCTACCTCATAACCATTCCTGATCCTTCAAGGTCTAGCAAGTCTTCCCTGACCACCCTCTAAATTGGTTTAAGGGTCCTCTGTGCTCCACAGTCCTTTCTATATGCTTCAATCCCATCACTTGTTCGTTTCACATTGATTTCCTCTGAAGAAGTATAAGCTCTGTACTGATTCCTTTATATGTATCTATTACACCTAGCATAGTGCTTGAAAAAAATTAAATCAATGTTAAATGGATATAAAAAAATACTGTTAACACTATTTTAATAAGTGATGCTTACCATAAATATATTTTTTAAAATATATTTTCAAGAGAGAGAGAGACTTACAGAAAGTCTGGTGGGTTTTAGGAATGTTCACCATGTTTGCGAGAGCGCTATCAGCATGGAAAGATGGGCCCTTTTTATTCTCCAGTGAGAAATCACACCAACCACTACCACCTTCATTTGCATAGGATTTAATATTTTATGCTTTCAAATACATTACTTTGTTTAATTCTCAGCCAACCAGATGAGATCAGTAATTACTGTTTTACAAATAAGAAATGTGAGGATCAGACAATTTGTCCAGGATGAGTGGTATGCAGCTTTATTAGTATGTGTTAGTTTAGTTTCCCTAACTAGGCCATGAGCATCTGGTAATAGAAGATAATATCTCAAACTTCTCCATTTCTCTAGTATACTCAATGTGCCTGATACAATTGGCACAGCATAGATATTAAATACCTGTGAAGTAAACCAAAAGTCTTTCTATCCTTTTGTTAGGAACAGTCTGCATGTCTTAGAGTCAAATCCAAGCTAAATGAGGGGACAAAGCTGATCCTTATTCTGTCACTAGAAGCCACGACTCTACCAAATCACAGTGGATTTACTTAGGTGTCTATATCTGGGTGTACGCCACATGGATAAATACCTGTAGCAGGAACATGCAAATAAATGTAAACACGGTGAAGTTTTAGAAAATATGCAAACCCAACTGGCCTTGTCAGAGGTTCTGGGTTCAGAACCTAGTAATATCAAGCGAAGAATTTCTCATCTGTGAAAAAAGTTTATTACTTTCTCTGCAGGCCTCATAGGATTGCTCAAAGAAAACACTGTTTTAGGGCTTTGTGAGCCCAAGGAAGTAATGCAAGATTATCTCTGTTCCTCTCTATTTGGTAGAGAGTCATCCTGGTAGCACCAGCATCACCTGAGAACTTGTAAGAAATGCAAATTCTCAGGCCCGATTGAATCAGGAATTATATGGATGGGTCCCAGCAATCTGTTTCAACAAGTCCTTTCATGCAATTCTGACACAACATTTTGAGAACTAAAGCTCTAGAACCGTGGTTTTTAGCCTGGTGATTTTGATCCCAAGACGACATCTGGCAAAGTGTGGAGACATTTTTGATTGTCACAACTGGGAGAGGGGTGCTACTGGTGTCTAGTGGACAGAGTCCAGGGATGCTGCTAAATATCATGGGATATGCCCCACAGCAAAATATCTGGCCTAATGTCAACAGTGCTGAGGTTAAGAGAAACTGCTCTAGGTTCAAGGAGAGTTCCTTTTTCTCTTTTTTCAGTGGGTTCTAAAATATGTTATGTGAATGACCTAATAAATATAGTCACACTATGGATGGTTTTACTTAAATAGCCTCAGTCTCCAGCTGAGAATCTAAAATGAGAATCTAAAATGAGAATCTGGGGCCTAGCTGGTTTGGCTTAGTGGGTAGAGCGTCAACTGGGGGACTGAAGGGTCCTGGGTTCAATTCTGGTCAAGGGCATGTACCTCGGTTACAGGCTCTTCCCCGGCCTGGGCCCTGGTTGAGGCTCGTGCAGGAGGCAACCAATTGATGTGTTTCTCTCAGATTGTATTTCTGTCTGTCTTTCCCTCTCTCTTCTACTCTCTAAAAATCCATGGGGCCCCACCTGGTTTGGCTCAGTAGATAGAGTGTCGGCCTGCGGACTGAAGGGTTCCGGGTTTGATTCCGATCAAGGGCACATGCTCGGGTTGCAGGCTCGATCCCTAGTAGGGGGCATACAGGAGGCAATGACTCTCTCTAATCATTGATATTTCTCTCTCTCTCTCTCCCTCTCCCTTCCTTTCTGAAATCAATAAATATTTTTTAAAAATCAATGGAAAAATATCCTTGGTTGAGGATTAAAAAAATAATAATAAAGTCCTTTTCACTGCACTACACTTATTAGATAATTCATGGCTGATCCAGATGATGTATAATGGCCCATCAATTCCTACAGTGCTTCTTTGGTTCAGATGCTGACTAAACTAAGAAAGAGGGAAGCATTACGAGACAGATGCTGGTCTGGAAGAATTCAGTGGTTGTGAGGATAGAGATGGTGGACAGAATGAGGCTTTGTAAATTGTAAAGTAGATGAGAGGCTGTGTAGCTATGAGGGTAGTTATAAGTTTGGTGAGTAATCTAAAATTCCTGTATTTACAGTGCATTAATAACAGAGCCCCATGAAGGAATAAAAGGTCCAAGCTGAGACAGGTTCACGTATGAGGAAACCTGCAATTTGACACTAATGTGCATGAAAGCCCCTATTAAACCTCCCAGAGTGGTGGTAGTTGATGGAAAAGCTGTATTGCAGGTTGCCGTTGCCCATTCACCTGTGCTCCACTATAGTTTCCTGTGTCTTTTCTCAGCAGAAGGCCTCACCTCAGAGAAGTCAGAATGGAAGTATGGGAAGACCAGGGAGGTGTGGTCAGTTTGTCATCACTTGGCGAGACTGCCTCTCCCTGCTGCAGGGATTCATGAAATCGGCGGATGTTCTGCACATGCTCTTCATGCCGTGATGCCTGGCTTCTTGCAGCACCACTTCTGTCAGGAATAAACGGGGGGGAATTAAATTCCCATCAATGAGAAAACTCCTAGTGTGACAATAAACAAATTACCTTCCTGAAATGGTATTGCAAATCCATCCCACTACCACAGTTCTGGCTTCATCAACTTCTTGGATTAAAACAATCTCCTAAATAATCTTACCTTCAGTATTACCCATTCCTCTTGAATAAGTTTTCCATATTATAGCCTGAGTGATTTTTTGAAAACACAGATCTAAAATAATGAGAACATTTATGGAGTTCTTATTACATGCCAAGCAATGCTTTAAGCATTCAACATGTACTAACCTATTTAATCATCATCATTCCTCCCTAGTTTTGGCTTCTTTTATATCTATAAAACAAATTTCAAATTCCTTAGTAGGGCATTTAAGAACTTGACCCCAGCAATAATCTCTTTATTTTTACTATTATTTAAAAAACCAGAGGCCCGATGCACAAAATTCGTGCATGGGTTGGGTCCTTAGGCCTGGCTGGCGATCACTGGTCTGTAGTTCTATTCTTATGCCAGTACCACACTGTGTTTACTGTAGATTTGTATTAAGTTTTGAAATTAGGAACTTTGTTTTTTTCAAGACTATTTTGTTTATTGTGTTCCTTGAATTTCCATGTGAATTTTAGGACTAGCTTGCCCATTTCCATAGAATCCAGCA